AAAATTTTATTATTTTTGTGTGCGTGTACCGTCAAATCAGATCTGACTGGTACAGGAGGAGATTGTCCCTCCTTCCCCAGCAGAGCATCTGGTGGATTCGAACTGTTCGCCTCTGGGGTTGTAGTTGCAGCTCCTTGCCACTAGGCCACCAGAGCTCCCCTTCCCTTAACTTTTTATATTGGATTTATACAGTATTTGTGACCTTTTGTGTCTGGCTTATTTCAGTCAGTGTAATATCTTCCTGGTTCATCTATGTTATGCAGAATTTCAATTCCTCATTCTTTAATGATGCATAATCCATTTCATGTATGTATCATCTCGTAGGTTTATCCATACATGTATTGATAGACACTTAGGCATCTCTTTGCTTTTGTAAATCATACTACATTGAACATGGTTGCACATCTTCATTTCCTAGTTCTTATTTCTGTGGGATATATACTTAGTAATGGGATTTCTGGGTAAAATGGTATTTCTAACATTTTAAGGAGGTGGTTTTGTTTTGTTTTTTTATAGTGATTTCACCATTCCAGTGTTCCAAGAGTGTTTGAAAGTTCCAATTTCTCTATACCCTTGTTAGCATTTTTTTCCCCTTAGTAACAGTGCTTTGCTGTTACTGCTGGATTGAAATGAGATCTTACTGTTCAGATTTGCATCCTTCTAGTGGCTAATGACTAATAATATTTCCTGTTATCTTTACTGCTTGCCTTCTTTGGTGAAATGTCTGTGTCTTCTCGCCATTTTAAAACTGGATTGCATGACCTTTTGTTGCTTAGGTGTTGAAGCTTTCTGTAAATTTAGGAGATAATCGCTTGTATCATATGTCATTGCCAAATATTTTTCCCCAACCTGTAGGTTCTGTGCCTACTCTTTCAGAGAAGTGCTTTTTTTTTATTTACATAAGATTTTAATTTTTAGAAGGTTCTATTCGTGTAGCTAGGCTTGTGGTTCAAATCCACCAACTGGCTCTGCAGGAGAAAAGATGTCTTCTTCCTGTGCCATTATCTGCCTCTGAAAACCCACTGGAGGGTCAGCTATGGATCGTTTCCAACTCAATGATACACATCATCTATTTGTGTTTTGCTTCTGATTGATAATCTGCTTATACTATAAATTAGGGCCCCTAAATTCACCCATTTTTCCTTTGATGATCTTTATTATTTTAGGTTTTTTAGACCATTTGATTCATCCTTAATTTCTTATATGGCATGAGGTATGATCTTTTTTTCTCAAATACCCAGTTTTGCCCATTCAATAGTGTTTTTTTCTTCGTGTAATGTTTTATGGATCTTTGTCAGTGATCACCTGCCCATATGTTAATTCTTCATCCTGCTTCATTGGTCTGAACACTGTACGAGTACCAAGCTGTTTTGACTACTATGACTGAAGAGTTTGTCTTAAAATCAGGTAGTTTAAAATGACTTTGTTGTTGTTCTTCAGAAGTGCTTTGCTTATCCAAGATTTTCTCATTTCCTTAAAAATTGTTGATGTTACCTGGATTGGTATTGCATATTATCTATATAGATTGGTTGGGCAGTACTGACATTTTTTACAAAGTATTCCTATTCATGAGCAAAGCATGTTATGTTCTTTTAATTTCTAGAGTTGACAAAGAGGCTTAGTTTACTTCTTCCTTTCCAGTGTGGGTGATTTTCATGCTTGTTTTTGGCTTTAAGTCTATCTTAAGGTATTGTTAATTCTTTTTAAGTTACTGTTTGCTTGGTATGTATGTTTTTCCTCATCTTTTGATTTTCAGTTTATCTTTGTTTTTAGTGAAAGATGCTTTTAAAAAATCCATTTTGGCCACTGTCTTGATGGGAGCAATTAAATAAGTTATTTACATTCAGTGTTACTGTCATTAGGTTAAGATTTTATTGCCTTAGGGTTTTTTATTGTGATATTATTAAGGTTTGTATTCGGTTTTGTCATACTGAGTCTTTTAATGGACTTGTTTTCTTCAATGTTGACTGCTTTTGTGTTTTGTTTTGGATAAAAGATTTACTATCCCTATGGCTGCTGTGCAGTTTCTTGTTATTAACCTTTCTCTCCTTGTAAAGCTCTGTGATTACTCCAAGGGCATTCTGGTGGCATAGTCCAGAGGGAGCAGTACAGCTCTGGAAACTCACATGTGGTCAGCTCAAGTCAGAAGACATTCAGTGGCAATGAGTCTGAGTTTGTGATTTTTGCTTTTCAGATGTGTTTACAAAGACCCTTTTAATTCTCTATTTTCAATCTTGTAAACATATTTATAAGATTTCTTTGGGGGGGAATTGTTTCCTAGGTTGAAGAAAGGGGATCCGCCATTGCTACCAGGAAGATGTCGCATAGAAAGCAAAACAGTCACTCAAAGACAGCTATCTACTTAGTTTACAGGTTGACTTTCAAAAGACATTGTTTAGCATTCTTGTAGCGTTGGCTTGGCTTATGCACATTTTCCTAATTTCTGTTTATCTGGAAATGTTCTCATGCTTTTTTTTCTTTTTTGTCTGAATTATTTTCTCTCATGAATTTTACGCAGTGAAAATTTATCCTTTGCTTCATGTAAGAAAAGATGAGGGAGTCTGCTTTCTTTATTACAAAGTGTATGATCTTTCATGTTCTTTAAAGAACATTCTCATCAGTAATGAATTTTTATCTGATTTAATAATATCTGATTATGCTAAAAAAGGGGGATAAGTAATGAACTCTGCATTTTAAATAGATGAGGGAAAGAACTGTCTAGAAGAAATACATGATTAGGTAGTATTTGCATGAAAATAGTCCAGAATAAGAGATGCATACTAGCAAAGTGGATTGCGGGGCGGGAAGAAATTTTGCAACAGTGAAAGATTTTTTTAAAGAGAAAAGTGAACTGGAGGTGGGTTGTTGTTGTGTGCTGTAGAATTGCTTGCGACTCATAGCAACTCTATGTACAACAGCCCTAAACTCTGCTCTGTCCTGTGCCAGTTGCACTGTTTCTGACATTCCCATCCCAGTAACCCCAGTCACTAAATCAATACACCTCATAGAGGGTCTTTCCTTCCTGTGCTGTGTCCCTCCACCCTCACAGGCATGATGTCCTTCTCCAAGGACCGGTCTCTTCTTACAACATGTCCAAAGTATGTTAGACGGGGCCTCACAATCCTTGCCTCCAAAGAGCCACCCAGTTTAACCCTTTCCAGGATGAATGTTTGTTTCCTAGCAGTCCATGGTACAATACTCTTCTCCAGCACCATAGCTCAAAGGCATCAATTCTCCTTCTTTCCTCCTTGGTCATTGTCCAACTCTCTGATGCATAACAAGTGATTGCAAAGACCATGGCCTGTATCAGACACACCTTGGTCTCCAGAGAGACACCATTGCTCTTCAGCACTTTGGAGAAGTCCCTAACAGCAGACTTTCCCATAGCAATGCGCCTTTTAATTTCCTGGCTACTGGTGCCAAGGCTGTTGACTGTGGAGCCAAGCAAACTAAAGCTGTGAACAATCTTAATCTCTTCACCATCCATCCTGATGCTTCCAATTGGCCCAGTGGTGGACCTGAAGCACCTGCTGCAGAGAGTCAAGGACTGTAGCCTCCAATATAGATTGAGGCTCAATGTCAAGACGAAGATTCTCACCACTGGGCCAATTGGAAGCATCAGGATGGAGGTGGGTAGGGAGGAAAATATCCAACAGTGGAGGAATGGAAATCCACATTTTCAGTTAAAATATCAATAAAAAAATATGCAACAGCAAAAAAAAAAATCCGATTATGAACATGTTTTAAAAGCATGCAGTAATACAAATAGTGAATGTTTTTCACTACAGGGCAAATCTGTTTGAAATATATTCAACCTAAATCCTTTTTCCTCCTGCCCAGAACAGATGGAAGCTGCAAATATTTCAGTATGTATTTGTTGTTTATAGTCTATAAAATATTTATCAGCAAAAGCTTTTCTCAAATGGTTTTTAGTGTTACAAATTTGGGCACTAATATTTTCCGTTTTCTTCCTATTAGGGACTAGTTTGGTTAAAAGACAAAGAAGCGACACACTGCAAACTTTGTGAAAAGGAATTCTCTCTCTCCAAGAGAAAGGTAAGGAAAACATGAAGTGAGTCCAAACATTTTGGTACAAAATACCTTTTCATTAATTTCCCCCTTTTTCATTTTGTTAAGCACCATTGTAGAAACTGTGGGGAAATTTTCTGTAATGCCTGCTCTGACAACGAACTGCCTTTGCCTTCTTCACCAAAGCCAGTACGAGTCTGTGATTCCTGTCATGCTTTGCTGATTCAGAGATGCTCATCTAATTTGCCATAGACTACAGACTCACTTCTTATGAATGGAAGTACGCACAATTAATGCTATCTACGGACATGTGTATCAAGTATACAGACAGCCCTCCTTAAGCAGCTGTCAATTAGTATTGGTTCTCATTTCTCTCTCACATATCCAAGCTCATGGAAATGAGAATTGTTATTTCTTTCATTCTTTTTTCAATTGGGTATGCTTTAAAATAATTTTAACCTAATTCCTAATCATGTAACCCTTAAAATCCAGGTATCAGAGCTACTACACATTTGCCTTACATTGTAAAGGCCTTCTTAAAATTAAGATTTCAAGATTGCTTAAGATTTCAAGATTGCTTAAGATTTCAAGATTGCTTTATTTTTCCAGACTGTCAAGTTGTTATTTTCTGTAATTATCTTAATGCACTTTAAATCTTCATAGTTCTCAGAAAGACTGGAAATGTATAAAGCATTTTACAAGTATTAATATTCCAATTCAACAAATTTTTTTCAGCTTAGTAAGATTTCAATTCTATTTGTCTGCACCTTTTCCCCCTTGAGATTGTGGTTGTATTGTTACAGTGAGCATATATGACCCTAGTTTTTCCCTTCTAATCTTCAAAGAAAGCTTCATATAACCTTTACCCTTTCCAATTTTAAGCTCCTTGCACATCTTTCTCTAGTTATTAATTTGCTAATTTTCAAGGGAGTTTCATACTCCACTTGAGAAATACAAAAGCATAAAAAGACTTCCCAAAAAATTGTGTAGATTTACAGCATCCCGCTACAAGTAGTATAAGTGAAATCTAAAATTCAGGTAAGCTTTGCTTTTGTGATATATTTTAGTTAAAAGAAAATGTGTGTGTATACATACATCCAACCTTTGTTGCCCTAGTGGCAAGATGCTGGACCAAGTTGGGATTGACTCCAGGAACAATTCAGCATGTATGACCTCTTACCTGCCGCCAAGTATACAACTATTTCAAGCATGATTCAATGAACACCAGTTTGGCTATACTGCTTATACCATACCAAAATTTAAATCTGTGAAAATGTTTACCCTTGTCTAATCACTGTAGGAATCTTACCTTCATTTTGTATTCAGCAACTGTCAGTTGTTTAAAAACGTTGCACTCCTTTATAATTTTTTCTCTAGGAAAAAAATAGGAAGTTTTCTAAATTGCCAAAGTTTGAAAGCAGTGCTTTACTTGGAAGATCTATTTCTGCCATCATAGATTTGTCTGTTTTTGTGACTGATGTCAGAATTGAAATGCAGATTTTTTTAAGGTGGACTTTTACTGATAGAAATGTCAAATTATGAATTATATTCTTGAATTTTATACCAGATTCAGATTTTTATGGTGAAAACATAAAATGAAAAATTTCAAACAGCACATTTTTTTTACTGCTGTGCTTGAATCATGATTTATAGTCGCCTTAGATTCCTTGCCATTTGAAAACCACTGGGACTTTTTGGGGTAGGATGATAGTTTCTATGTCATTGCTTTTTATTTTGGCTTATTTAAATTACTTTTATGGACTTTGTACTTTTCAGCTAGAACTTGCGCAATTTTTATTTTGTGATTGTGAACACTACCTTCTCCAGTCCAACTTTAGATTTGCTCTATTATTTAACTTCATAGATTTACATAAAATTCCTTCACTCAGCCAACTAAATATTCCAATATTCCTAGTGTCAATAAAAATTTAATTCTACTTTAGAATGTTTTTAATAAAATGTGAAAGTTTTTTAAAACTTGGAAAATTGGCATGATTTCAGAGGTAAAAGGACAACTTTCATTTTACAGTTTAAAGATTTTAAGGATATATTAGGAAAATAAAACATCTTTGACCTGAATAGAGATGACCTTCTTTATATAGCTATGATTTACCATCTAAATCGACTAAATATAAGTTTTTGTTAGGAGCCATGAACTCAGTAATTCTAATAACAGCTCAAAACTTTTACTTATCCTGTGTCATTCTCATGGTCTCTGACATGCTCATGCCCTTGGTTACAGTGTCAATCTATTTCATTTAAGAATCTTCCTCTCTTTCAACTGATCTCCACTTTTCCGAGGTTTCAATAACCAATATAAAGTATTATAGGACAGACGCTATTATAGCCCACATTGATATTTATTATATTATTAACATTTCTAGCAAAAACAATTAACACATTCAGTAACTGAATTCACAAACAGGTTTCATTTTGATCTCTTAGCCAATTTGAAAAAAGCTACATTGATCAAAAGGCTAAAAAAGTAAAAAAGCACCTTTTTCTTTGCTACATGTTTTTTAACACCAACCATGGCTCTAGAAATCCAAGCATATGTTAGATGTAACACCTAACTGCATGACTCATTTTAATTAATTCTATGGCATGGAATTATGTCTTATATTTTTTTAAGTGGGTCTCATACAGTTAAAATCATAGGGGAAGGAAAATTAAAATACATTTGTGAGAATTATACTCCACAATAAATGCTTATTTTCATATTAAATTCCCACGTCACTGGGATCTTAAAACTGTCTTCTTTTAGAAATATCTTTTGGTACATCAGTCCAGTGCTGAGGGGTCTGTGTTCTGAAATATAATGCCAGAATTTCTAACACTTAACACACTCCAAAATTGTGACTATTCAGAAGTCCAGATACCTCCCCCAAGAGCAACACTGCAGTGCTATTAAGTGACATATGAGTAATACAGAATTCGCTAGATTTATACTCTAGAGTCACCTAAATAATCTTTAGGTTTTGCTAAGTAGGAATTAAAAAAAAAAAAATTACAGTATTCTTTAAGCTCTATTACAGATGCCTGTGTATCGACTTACGCAGAAGTGAACCATTGTCTTAACACTATACTACATCTTAAAGAGCGAATATTAAAATACATCAACCCAAATTTTATGAAGGCAGCACATCCTTAGAACTAGTATATAAAAAGTATCAACATCAGTGGTTTGAATATAAAAATTTATTCTTTAAAGTCAAAGTATGCAACAAATTAAACCTAAAGAAAACAGATTTTCCCACCACAGTCTGTTGCTTTACCAAATAATATATTGAAAACACATTCCTTCAGTCATTATAAAGTTCTTAAAATACAAAAAAAATTGGTAAGAAAGTCTAGTAGACCAGATGAATGTTGTTGTCAGGACTTGGATATTGCTGGATACAATTCAGTACATCCCACGCCAGCCACCTCCACTCATGCCACCTTGTCCATAGTACCCGCCGCTGCCGCCGCCACCACCACCCCGGCCTTAAAAAAGAAAAAAAGACATTAAGAATCATTTGCTAGGATTTAAGAGATTACAAATAATCTATAAATTTAAAATTGTATTACGTAAGGTGACAGGTAAAAATTCAACATCCAAAGTAACCAGATACTGACCATAACCACCTAAGCCATCAGGAGTGCCATATCCTCCACTGTAATTGTTTCCCATTCCCATTCTTCCAACAGAACCGTAGCCTCCCTGGTTATCTAAAAAGAAAGAAATGCTTGAGGATCAGCTGTTTAAGTGTGTAATGTCGCTTACTTAAAAACATTACATTACATACCCATTGCATCTCTGCCGTAGCCGCCCATTCCTGAGCCACCTCCAGGAGTAGAATTCAAGAAGAGTTCAATGTATCGATGTTCTGGAGGGAGCAGAAGAAAAAGGATAAAGAGATCAGATTTATCAAGCAAAGTGTACAAATGTTGATTAGCCAATATTAAACCAAAAGTATACTTGCCAATTTCTAGTGGGGTGATAATGGGGCTAAAATCTAGGTTTCACTGAAACTGTACAACCTTGAACAAGCAACAAATGTTTGGGGCCTCAGTCCTCATCTATAAAAGAGTTAATTCAGAATTACCTGGGGGTACTACTTAAAAATAGATTCCAGACTCAATCATACCCTAAGAAGACATTAAAGTCTAAATTTACTAGAGGTTTTATTATGATTTTAGATTCCCAATACTGGCAAGGTTACCTAAAGATGTTAGGACCTCATTAATTTATTTAATTAATTAACTTTTCAGTAAGAAATTCACAATGAGGAAGCAAGTAACATAGTGCCAAGGATACAACTTACGCATGTTATTTTTATCTTTAGACATAGCAGCCACTGCATCTTCATGTGTCACAAACTCTACATCTGCTTCTCCCGTTGCTCTGCCATCAGCTCCAATATCAATATGAACTCGTATTGGGTTTAATGGCGAGAAGAACTAAGAAAAAATTGTTATTTACTGTTTTATTCAGATTATTGATAAGTAATTACCACATACTTAGTTTTGAAACAAACCCTTCCCATTTCTGTTACCAGCCTAACAAATGTACAGAGCACAGAAGTTTAGGAGCTTTTGGTATATACAAGGAAAAAGGAAAATGAACACTTCCAAAAATCCAATTAGACACAGTATTATTTGGGGGGAGAGGGGGTCTAACCTAGTGAAGTGTGAGTCCACTAGGTAAAAACTACCACCCTCATACTCATACCCAAGATACGTTATTTCAAAACTGCTATTAAAAATATGAAATTCACTTGAGAAAAAAAAATCCAAAGAGAAACAGTGTAATCATTGACTTAGACTGAGGGAGTTTGGCAGATAAGTGCAATGAACAACACACAAAATATCATTTTGTTCTAGTCTCCTATTAATTAGGTTTTACACTATTTTGAAAGGTATTTGGTGATTAGGCCAACTTTCTCTGTAAGAGCCAGAGCATCCAACTGAACTCAGCCATGGGCTCAAGTTTGTGAACTCACCTAACCAATTTGAAACCAGTTTCAAATAAGAAAATCAGCTGCAGTATGTACTGTTATCACCAATAAGAATTTCTACAATTATCGGGCCTCGAAAGCCAAGCTAATCAATTTACTGACTGCATATATGCACTTTAAGAATTTTTTTAAAGAAAACAAACCACCACTACCTTCTGTTAAATATGTATTTTCAAGGAGTTTTGACATTAACTATAAAAAGGAGAAAAAGATAGTACTACTGCTGGGAATGCAAAATGCAACACCACTATGGAAAAATAGTGTGGCAATTCCTCAAACACCCACCCCTGGAAAAAAAACCTCAACCAAACCAAAATAATAATCACTGTTTTAACTCAATTCCATTCCTAGATGAAAATACGCAAAAAATCCTTGAAAGCAGAGTTCATGAAATATAAATGCCAATGCTCTTTGCTGTACAAATAACACAAATGTCCATCAGATGAATGAATAAACATATTATGGTGCATGCACATAATGGAATATTACTTAACCTAGTAAAAGAAAATATATGATGCTACAGTCCTAATGAAGATATGATGAAGTAAGCCAATAATGAAAAGACAAATATTGTATGATCTTATTTGTATAAAAAGCAAAGGGAAGGCACCAAAGGCTGGCAAGAAGGAGAGACATTAAAGATGACCAAGAAAAATTTACATTAAGGGTAGGATTGTATAGTTATTATAATTGCCATCAGTAAGTTTCATACCTATAAAGTTCAATTTGCAAAGGTTGTGTACTACAGTAATGACAATCCTCTCCCCCACACTCACAAAGTTGCTGAACTGCTTAACTAAGCACTTAACTGGATTTCGTTCTTTGGTTTGGAAGGGAGTTCTAGTGGCCTAGTGACAAAGGGCTGGGCTGCCATCCCCAAAACACTCAGTTTCAATCTACCAGCTGCTTTACAGGAGAAAGCTAAGCAATCTTCCATGTGATTAAACTGTCCCTGAAAATCTACTGGAGGATCAGCTATTAGACAGTCTGACTAAACAGTATACAATCGTAGTGTTTACTTGTTTTGCTCTAGTTCTTCTTTAATTGTCTAAGGCCTTAAAAGTTTTGCAAAGGATTAACTAAAGGACATACTCAAGGAGGAGGATACAGAGGCCAACTGCCTCCATGAACAACTGCCACCCCATGTGCCAGAAGAATTGGAAGGTGCTTTGAGCATTCTTTTCTTTGAGCTTTCTGACCAAAGATTCCACAAAAGAATCTGTATCAAAAGGGGAAAAATGCAAAAGAAAATGTCAAATTCTTATGGACTCCTAGGTTTCAAGAGGCATCAAAAGTTGGTGAATCCCTGAGATGAATTGGTCTCAAACCAAAAGGCCCCTAAATCATCTTAAAATGAACAAAAGCTTAACAAATAAGACTTGTACAGCTAAACCAAAGGCTGAGCCTCTGGCGGTTGGACTGGGTGGACTCCACCAACCTCTCTTCAGAAGTAAGCTGGGCAATCTCCCATGCAATTTAGAGCCAATGGAGGGCTCAGCAGTAAGTCAGTTCTGCTATGGCAAGGAAAGAAGAAAAAAAAAACTGCTCTAAATTATTGAACTTTTGCGATATGATCAAATTGGCAACAGCAAGTGGCAAAAAACTGACAGGAACTTAAAGAGCCACTGAATTTATGTTAATGAGAGAAAAAAAATATCCTGCTCAGAAAAGGACAACTTGAAGGATGCTAACAGTCAATGAAATGGTATGTAGAAGTTGTCGTATATGTGTATGTTTTGCTGTTATTTTCAACAAAACCAGTAAAATTTGTAAGAGGAAGATTTAAGAATCCTTTAAGAATGCTTCAAAAACTAACAACTACTGAAATTACTTACATTAGCAATGTCGTTTTCAGTTGCACGAAAAGGCAACCCTCTCATATGTACAAAATGACCACCATGAAAACCTGAACTTGCATCACCAGCTCCACCATAACCATGTCCTCCCATACCTGAAGAATAAAATTTCCCAAGACTATAAACAGCTGAAATATGTAATACAAGCCTTCCATAAAAATGAAAAGGACTTTAAAAAACTCCATCATCTCAACAGTCACTCAGTGACTGCAAACCAAGCATTAGAATGTACCTCAAAATAAGAATTAAAAAAAAAAAAAATTACCTCTTCCATCTCTCATCCTATCGTCAAAGCCATCATTTCCATAGCCATAGTTATTATAGCCACCGTAGTCCTCAAAACCTCCATAACCTATGCAATTCAAGGAAAAATTCATGAGCACTCCTTCCAGGGAGGAATTTTATTATTCTGTTCACAAAAAACAAACTTTGTTTTAAAGTATATTTAGGCAATAACTTTCAACTTTCAACCCAATAAACATGATAAAAGCAGTTAACATTTGGTAAAACTCTCAAATGGATAAACCCAGAACTCATTCTAATGTGAAACAAAGTACCAAAATAGCTTATTATTTTTTTAAGCTGAGTAAGATACCTAGGTGTCAATATGTGCATCAATCATATCCCAGAGCTAGTCATGGGAATCTGTATTTTCATGAACAGGTTTTAAAACGTAGTAGGTACTGAAATTACTGCCATTTCTGTATTTCTTGACAAAGTGTCAGAAACAATAAGAAAATGACAACAGAACCTTTGTTCATTAGATACACATACCACCATCATATCCATCACCTCCTCGTCGCATTCTGTCATACATACTTCCACGCCCAGCTCCATAATAACCCCCTCTTCCTCCTATTGGTCTATCATATGGTCCCGGTCGCTGTCCCAGTAATCTTCTCGGTGGGTCATAAAATCCTTTGATTTCACTTCTGCTACTTCTGAAGATTTCAATATACCTATTTAAAAATGTTTTAAGGTACAAGTTTCAGCATAAATGCAATAGAGTAAATAAGATATTGGGCAAAATGCAGTAAGGTTATCTACATCTAATTACATAACCCAATTTAAATTGCCTAAATACACTGTATAAGTTAACAGTTTTTACACCTACAAATGTAAATAATTAAATATTTATGTTTTACATAGACAAATGAGTCATTTGAAAGCAATCCATAAAATAATCATTATTTTGTTTCCTTTAGTATATTACAGATGTTTTAAAGAAAATAGGTGATTACACAAAAACATTTATCAACAATATCCTACATAGAAATGGAAACAATCTAATTTTAATTAAGCCATTAGCATTAATTCCCCACCCAAATCTGTAGTTCCAAGTTAAATTTAGATAATTAGCAAGTCTTTTAAACTACCCCAGAAAAATGTTATGGTAACCCCCCCCATTTAATAAATAGTGACCCACAACCCCCAAAAATAAAAATTTAATACCATCCCAAACTCTCCATCCCCACCTGTGCCCTATTCTTTCCTTGTGTTTCCCCAGAGCATTTTCTGCTATCTCCTTTGAAGCAAACTGCACGAAGGCCTCCCCTGTGCTTCTCCCCTGGTAGTCCATCGTCAATGTTATCCCATTTGGCACGATTTCCAACCCTTTAACCCAAGGACAAATAACCCCATCAAGGGGAACAGTGTTAAAGGCTGAAACATTCCCATCTGAATCAAATATTTAAAACAAGTCTAAACAAAACAAAACAAAAAGCTTAGTTTCCCATCACCCCATAATGCAAATGGAAGATTATGTTCTAAAAATATTACTGGATTAACTATATAGAGAGATATATTTTGCAACCAGTGTCTTAAAAAAATTACATACATACACTAAGCCATCTATATTTTTTTTTTTAAAAAAAGGGGGGCTATAAATAAAACTTAACTATGCTCCAAAAGCTAATTCATGGTTCATTTCATTATACATAATTACTTTCAATTATGTTAACTGGGTATCAGTTCTTATACATTCTATGTAGAAAAATGAACTGGAGCATATTTTGGTTTAGAACTTTTAGCCAAAGATTCCAAAAATTGTTGGGCTTTACAAATTAAAATTCAGAATATAAAGCAACTATAAAATTAAAATGGTACTAAACTTTGACTAATACTAGCGGTACCTTGAAAGAACTGAACTATTTCCTCTTTGCTGCAACCAAATGGCAGTCCACGAAGTCGTACTGTCCCATCACTAGCGTCATTTGGACCATTATGTTTCATAACCCAATCCATCTCAATACCGTTTGATTAAATGCTATAAAAATAAACAAGCACATAAAGTAGTCAATCAAAACATACCCTTGTCAGAGGTACTGAAGAAACACTTGTTAGTAGTGCTACATGCCCCAGTGAGTAATTTCTACTATTATGTCACATCAAAATGTACATCTGCTTTCTATTCTGAAGTAGATGGAATACTGGGGCAGTGAAACCTCCCCTCAAAGTGATGACTATATGAGACATGTATTTTAGTAAGACTTAAAAGTCCACTATCAGTCTTCAAACTACCCCTAGTTTGACCTGTTGTCTTCAAGTTAACTCCTTTCTTTGTCCAGTTTTCATTTCTATTTCTTCATATTTTGTTAGTTAACAAAGACACAAATTCCTGAAAACTTGAGTTAATTCAGAAGTTGTCCATAGTACCCTGGCTACACTCAAGTTAAAAAAGAATGCATATTTCTTTGGGTGCTCTATGCATACTCATGTTAAGAGCTTAAGTTAAAAACTATAGAATGTGTACTTATTTATTGAGAAGGCTATTATGAAAGTCTAAAGTTAATTGTGAACACACTGGAATCACTTCTGAATGGAGCAGGGGGAATTCCCCCTTCTATTTTAAACAAATATTTAAATATTCCTTGAGAGCAAAAGTTTAAAAATGAAAGTGAAAAGCCACTCAAAAACTAATGCCTTCTCATCTTGTAACAGTATCAGTGTTTTCACACCTAATGAAGCCTTTATATTGAAACAAGTTTATAGTTGCTTTACCTTTTAAGTCAAAGAACAGATACAGTAACACCAATAGTAATAAAAAAGTAAAGAGCACAGTAAGATTGCTGTCCAATATGAACCCTTCCTCAGTTCCCTGAAACAATTATACAGCTCTATAAAAATTCCATAAATTCTCAAAAAGCTAACACAGAAGTTGGTATTATACAGCCATGGAAACTTACCAGTCATACAAATTTCACTATGCACCTGTCGGAAACTTAACTCACCAGTTTGCAAACATTTTACTTATTCCTGCACGCACGCACACACCCCCCAATATGCTTGGCTTGACTCTTAAGCTTGAGGATTTCTTTCCTATCCTCTAGATTTCATTATCTGTGCAACTGTTTGGCATGACATCTGCAATAAGTTAAAATTTTCTTTTCTGACAATGTGCATACATACCTTAAGCTAATGCAGACATCCTTCAAATGTGTGTGTGGTTTTTTAATTTGCAAGCGACTTTTATAGTTTGCCTCTTAAAACTCTTAAGGGCAACTATAAACAGACTCAAAATGGAAAAACTGAAAATTTTAACTGACATCACAACTAATTCTTGTGCATACAAATATCTGGATTATATACTTTTTTTGTTGCTGTTGTTTTTTAATTAATCTTAATGAAAGTTTAGAGACTTAGGAGTTCCAGTCATTCATTGTTGCACTTTTCTCCCTGCCCAATCCCTCCGCCACAAATCACTCTTCTCGAAAAGAACAACTCCCTTGTTGTTATTGGATTATGTACTTTTAAGAGGAAAAAGCCATGAGTTTGAATCCCTACTCTTACATGTACTTGATTTCACTGAGGAAAATTACCTGCAGAGCCTCTGTTCTTCTAGCAGTGGGCCTCCTTATCACTTGTTAAAAAAAAAAAAAAAAAAATCAAAGTGCTTTGTCTGCCATATGGAATGCACTCAATGGTGGCCTGGACACTGTTACTGGCACAAAACTAATAAATACACCACAAAATACCTGAGGCTCAAAGTAGAGAAAATTATCCTGAGTCTTGAAAGGAAAGCTGTAATAATTGTTAAAACAATTCTTATCTTTTCCAAAACACACAAGTTTCGCCATCTACAAACTGTGTTAAGAATTTTTAAAGGAAATTTTTAGAAATCAGAAATACATATACCACATGTGTTAACCAGCAAGTCTGAAAAATTTTGTTAAGGAGCTCTGGTGTTATAATGAGTTATGTGTTACACTGCTAACAAGGTCAGCAGTCAGAATCCATGAGCTCTGCTCCAAGGGAGAAATGGGCATTCTCCTGTACATTTTGACAGCCTCAGATATCTGATGGAAAGTTCCTATTAAGTTAGGATTGACTCAACAGCAAAAGGTATGGGGTGGGTTCTAGATAAGGCACCAAATCAATTCAATCATAAATATTTAGAAAGCTCTTCTAAATTCTAAAAGATTTGAGTGTGATTCCTAGAAAGGGTCATTTAATAACAGAAGGAAAGGTGTAAAGAATCTAAACCAAATGCTACTTTTTCATGAACAATTTAATTGTGCTGCTAATCTAAGTCATTCTGGAAAGCCTCATTCACTGCTGCTGAATAGATTCATAGTTGACCCTCCAGGAGGTTTTCAGAGGATGCAAAAAGCAGGGGAGATATTGGCCATCTTTCTTCTGTGGAGCAGGCTAGTGGATTTGAACAGCCTGTCTTTGGGTTGCCAGAACAAATTAGCTGTAAATCTCAGTGCTACCTCCAAAGACATACCAAGTCATGGCTGACCCTCCAGTAGGTTTTCAAAAGTAATAAACTGCACAGGAGGAGACAGCTTATCTTTCTCCTGTGGAGTGGACTGAAACCATATATCTCTTGGGTGGGCCATGCAGTTCATTACCAAGCCACCAGAGCTTTCTAAAGTAGAACTAGCAAACAAATTAGTTGTGCCTGTTTAATCAGGGTAGAGCAACAAGATGATCTATATAAACAAAAATAAAAAGACTAGAAAAACAGACTGAAAAATGGCTAACTAGGGTGGAGAGAAATTGTATTCTTTCACAAAGGGAGATCAAACTGTCATCATAGCTAAAATTTTCAGCAAATTTAAAACTGAAAACCTCAACCAGATTCTGGTAGGATTTTATAGGATGATTTTTCACCTCATAAATATAGAGTATTCACTTTAAAGGGTGGGACTGGGGTGAGGTGGAGGCACTGCCCAGGCATTAACCCTTCTACAAATTTGAGTGGAGAATTCTATTTACAAAAATTATAAAAAGTGATCTTTTTCTAATGCTTTAAGGTTGTCTCAGAAATTACCTGTTATGTATTAAGTTGAAACTGACTCATAGCTGACCCTCCAGTGGGTTTTCAGAGGCGTTAAACTGCATGGGAGCAGAATGCTCATCTTTCTCCCATGGAGCAGCTGGGGGATTTGAACCGTGTACCATTGGGTTGGCAGTGCAACACTTTACCACTAAGCAACCACAGCTCATACCTACAATTTACTAATTACAATCCACCACAACCTTTCATTGAACCAGTGTCCTGGCTTAAAATCTTATGATTTTAAGAATTCCTGATGTTCCACCCAAGCAGATATATGCACACCCATGTTTATCACAGCTTTGTTCATAATAGCAAAGAGCTGTAAACAACCCAAGTGCCCATCAACAAACGGATAGGGAAGATGTGGTATACTCACACAATGGAATGCTACGCTGCATTGAAAAACAAGATGCTCATGAAATATTATACAAAATGAGTGACCCTGGAGGACATTATGCTGAATGAAATAGCTCAGTTACAAATGAACAAATACTACATAGTGCCATTGTTTTAAAACAGGACTGACATCGGTGTTTGGGGGACACTGAAAAAGAGGGGATAAATAATGCATACTGCATTGAAACAGATGAGGAAGAGAACTGTTTAAAAGGGATATATGATTAGGTATTATTGTCATGACAGGAGTCCAGAATGAAGGCTACATAGTGGAATGGGCTTGGGGGGGGGGGGATCACTTAACAATGAAAGAATTTTTCTTTTACTTTTTAAAGAGAAGAGCTAATTGGGGGGAGGTTGGGCAGGGAGAAAAGTGCAACAGTGAACAAATAGAAATCCAAAGTCTCTGTAAACGTTCATTAAAATTAGTAATAATAAAGAATTTCAAATGTTGCCATGAATTTAAAGTACCAGCAGTTTATATTGAAAAAGAATTTTCATCAATTTTATTTTAAATACTGCTTTTCAAACATACTAAATGAAAGCCAATCACAAAGATCACATATTGTTATTTATATGGAAAAGTCCAGAATAGGGAAATCTGTAGACACAAGAGGGTGTGTGGCATGTGGGGCAGTGAGGAGATGTTGTCAGGAGATACTCCTAAGGAGAACCGGTATTTCTTTTTTTTTGATGATAAATATGTTTGAAAGCCACAGTTTCATGATACTTTTACAACTCTGTTTACTTTAATGACTTATATCTAAAAAAGGAGGCTTAGGGGAAGGGGGGGGAACACCTTAAAGAGACCAGAATAGAGTCCCTTTTAATACAAGGGCATATTCTATCTTCTGAGATACTGAAATACAAAACATAAAATAAACATCTGAAACCACAGTATCTTTTAAGTGGAACTTCAATAGTTCTTAAAAAAAAAATGACTCAATTTGTTTGGCCAAAAAAGAAATACACACATATTTACTTCATCTCTCCCTTCCCAACAAGTTTGCTCCTTAGTTTTAAATAAAACTTCTGACACACCTTAATATAAAGAGCTACCTCAAAGGCCATCAATGAGTTTTTCAATAGTACAAAACTGTTTTCTCTCTCTCTCTCTCACACACACACACACACACACACACACTCACTCTCTCTCTCTCTGGAAGTAATTAGATGAAAATGAATTTCAGATTATGATGCAGATGAAAGAAGGCCGGAAAAAATTCCATTAGGAAAGCTGCTAGTTATGCCACTACTTATAGGAAAGGTTAACCTGTTTTTTTTCCAAATCTATTAAAAGTTTCAATAGGATCTGGGAATTTTTCCTTAACCAAGCACCAAGGACCACCTGCAACAATAGCACGAAGACTTTTTTTTTTTTAAAAGTGGGTAACCAACGCTTTAGAAAACATAAGATTCCTACGGATTATTGGAAACTTTTTTAGGCCTTCCTTACCTAGTTTACTTTTTCCTCAGTAAAAATTACCCACTCAAGTTAGTTCTCAGCTCTCAAGACCAAAACCCACCACTACCACATGCCCAGACTTGGTTTTGTTTTCTACTTAAGAGTGTTTTTCTGTAGCCAAATATTAGTTTACACATACATTATAAACAGGGAGCTCTGGTGACCTAGTGTAAAAAGCTGCGCTGCAATCCCCAAGGCAATCAGGTTCGAATCCACCAGCTGCTCCACGGGGGAAGGATGTGCATCTTCTCTTGTGCAATTAACCTGAAAACTCGCTGGAGGGTCAGCTATGGGTCTGTTCCCACTCGACTCCACACAACAATGCATTTCAAACAAAACACACTTGCTTAGCTTCCAAAAGAGAGTAAACCTTGATTGTATTTTTAAATATTCCACGTCTATCCTGACTGCCAAGCTCCTGACTGCCAAGCGGGAAATCTGTGCATAAAAGCCCGCCCGTGGGAAATCCTGTTAAAAAGCTAGTAACTCGATACGCACGCAGCGCTGCTAGCGCAAACGTACAGTGCTGACACTATTTTAACGGCTGTCTAAAACTTAAACTTTAGCCGCCGCGCCCCGACCACCTCTCACAACCGGCCCCGTGCACCTTCCCGGGCGCTAAGTCACCGGTTCTCCTCCCCGCTGCACCGCTGCGCGCAGGGGAAAACAAAGTTTAGAGAAGCGCGCACACCTCCGTCCTGGGAAACAAACCCGGACCCCCAGGGTCAGCTGGGCGTCCTTGTTTCCTCCCCAGAGCCGGGGTTCACCCGGAGTCCCGGGAAGCGGGGCGAAGCCGCCGCCGAGCCTGGCCGCTCAGCCTCCACCGCCGGGCGGGGAGTCACAAAGGAGCCTCCTTTGTCCCGGCTGCGGGATCGAGGGCGCGCCCTCGTCCTCGCCCCGTCCCGGACGCTCTCGTCTCGGGGATCTACGTCAGAAGTCGCCCCGGGCCCGCCGGCCCAGGGAGCCCCGCAGGGACTGCGGGGAACGGGGGGCGGGAGCCCCGCGCGGCGCCATTTCCACCGGGAGCGCATCCCAGCTCCCGGGCCGACCCCCCGAGACCGGCCTCGCCCGGCTCCCCTCACTCCCCACCCTCGCGCCGCCGACACCCCCGCCTTTCCGACCCGTTCTCTCAAGCTGGCGGCAGAGCCATTAAGCATCAACAGCCGGGAAGGGCGGGAAGCCCAGGTGGCCCCGCAACCCAACTCAAGATGGCGGAGGGCTTAGCCAGTAGGGGGGAATAAAGAGGGGGGGATGCTGGACGTCCCCCGCTTCGGGCTTCTGCTTCGTTCACTCACTGCTACCTGCCCGAGTTCGTCCTCCGCTGGCGGCCCGCCTGGAAGAGGGGCATCGGCCGCGAAGCGCAGCCCTACTGTCTCCGAGGGGCGACCTCCACTCACTCCCCCCCGCCGTACCCCAGCCCCTCCCGGTCTCCTGTTTGTCCTTCTCCCAACTGCGCTCTCGGAACCACCAGCCCAACCTACCCCCTTTTAGTTCAGATACCCTGTCAGGAGACAGTAACGCCCTCTCCGGTGCCCGCAGGGTGCGGTCGTGAGGAGGGAGAAGGCGGCCGCCTGGCGTAGCACTCCCCACAACGGTCCTTCCAACCGTCTCCGGCGGCAACAACCGCTAAGAAAGCTGCGCAGCAGAACGACTGGCTGGGGGGAGGGGAGCGCGCGAGCGAGAAGGAGGGGGTGGAGCGAGAGCCTCGGAGACCTGCCATCCAAGCTCTCGCGAGAAGAGTCCGAGCTGCTGTCAGTGGCGCGGTGAGACGGCATGCGCATGCGTGGTGGTGGTGGTGGTGTGTGTGTGGTTGGACAGTGGTGGGAGAGCCTGCTTTAAGTGGTGAAGAAAACAGCCTTTTCTTTCTTTACTGTAAAATCCTCAGTCTCAGGGACAACTTTAATTTTCCCAAGGAGGATGTGTAGTGTTTTGAACAACTGCAGTCTGCTATAAACAATTTCTCAAAGGCATCACCTGAGTGGAAAGGTTGGTACGTAGTTTGGCTGTCAACGCTAGAGGTCCTTTCTTGTACTATGATTTCATTACACGGAGCCCTGATGGCGTAGAGCTTTACGTGTTGTTCTAACTGCGAGAATAGATTTGACACATTGTGCTTATTCCAGTGCTTATTCCATCAATCTATTGTTTTTCTAAAAATTTTCTACTAGCTTATTTACAAAATTTGAATACATTGTTTTCACGAACAAATTCAATTTCCCTCACCCATCAAATTGTACTAATCCATGATTAATCCCTCCCCCTGCACATCCTCATCCCTCTACTTACATCCTCTCCCACCCTCCTTGATCCTTATACTCATTCTACAATAATGGTTTTATACAATATTTATCCATGTGGGACTGAGTTCACTCAGCATAATGTTCTCCAGTCCCCTCCCACGTTAGGTAGTATTTTATGACCTCGAGTATATTCTGAATTTAGAGATCCATTTCAAGAATAGATTGGACGAATCAGCCCAAATGTCCAACCACAAACGAAAGGATAGAGAAATTATGGTACATTCACACAATATACAGCAATCTATTCTTGAAATGGATCTCTTAATTCAGAATATACTCGAGGTCATAATTTGGCTGTCATGGATAATAAGACTACTTCTTAGATGGAAAGTTCCCTGTAAAGATTTCTAGCCAGAACTCAAGTTAGTGAGTTTGAATTTTGGGGGGCATTTTTTTGGGGGATTTCGGCCCTAGGGCGCTGGAGGTCCTTCCACTTAACCATTCCACTGCTGCTGGCCCTGCTGTCTACCCAGCCTGGTTGGAGTGCCAAAGGTCAGCTTTCACCAAAGTGCTTCCAGAGAGATGTTCCACCTCTTTCTTATCTCCTTTGTTCTTTCTGTAAATCATTCATCAGTTTCACTTCATGCTATCTTCATTTCTCCCACTTTTACATCCTTCTTATGATAGCTGACTTTGGGTTTTCTAAACCTATTTTTATGTTCTCAAATACCGCTAGTACAAACTATGCCTAATACACATGCTGCCCTACCCCTGAAAGTTTCTGGGTGGCATAAAAGGATAAGCACTTAACTATTAACCAAAAGGTTGGAGGTTTGAACTCACCCAGAGATATCTGGAAAGACAGTCCTAGGAATTTGCTCCAAAAGGTCATAGTCTTGGAAACCCACTGTAGCAGTTCTCTGCACACGTGGGGTGGCTATGAGCTGGCAACTAACAAATCATGCAAACAGTGTCATGACTAATGACACCTTATGACCTTTTTTATTAGTTTCAGAAAAGATGGAAACTAAATATCTGTAGTAAAAGTAGAAGACAATCCTAATAAAATTGTTAGGTATGTAGATTAACCACTTGGCAAACTGACTGGAAGAGATCTATATTTGTTCCCATCCCAAAGAAAGGTGACCCAACAGTGTAGAAACTATAGAACAATTTCATTGATTTCACATGCAAGCAAGATTCTACTGAAGATTATCCAAAAACGACTGGAACAGCACATCAGCAGAGAACTAC